ATCTGCGCGACGATCTTCACGGACCGGCGCTGCTCGCGCGCGTTGCGCTCGAGGCGCCGCTGGTCCGCGGGCAGCGCCTGCTTCTTCTTGCCGCGGCCGCCCGTCCCCGAGGACCCCTCGCCGCCGCGCGGGCTCGCGTCGCCGCTGCCGCTGCCGACGTCCATGCCGTCGTCGTCGCTCGGCGCCTTCTTCCGCGCGGCCGCGCGCGTGGCCTTCTTTGGCGGCGCGGGATCCGAGTCGCCGCTCGCGCCCGTCTCGGGCCCGGGGGGCACGTAGGCCTGGCGCCGCGCGGACGCGGACCGCGCCTTGTAGGACGTCGACGCGCGGGAGGAATGGGCGACGTAGCCGCCGCGCATCTCGCCGGCCGTCTCCGCGGGCGCCTCCTCGTTCCCCGCGAGCTGCGCCCGCGTGTAGTAGTCCTTGCCGTGGTCCTCGGGGTAGCGCTCCGCCGTCTTCGGGCGGCCGCGGCCCGACGCGGGCGCGCCGCCGCGGCCGCTCCGCTCCTGCTCCGCGCGCCACGGGCCCGCGGCCGCCGCCGTCGCCGTCTCCTGCGGCGACGAGCCGCGCGGCGGGCTCTCCGAGTTCGCCGAGTTCGACCGCGACTGGGGGCTGTCGCCGCGGATCGCGTCGATGGCCTACGTGGGCGGGGGGGGGGGGTTCTGAATGGTTCGAGACGGCGCGCGCCCGACGACGCGCGACGCGCGGGACGCCGCGTCGCGCGGCGGCGTCGAGTTCCATGGAACTCGGCAGCACGTCGTCCAGGAAGTTGTCGTACGTCTGCTTGCGGGTCGGGTGGAAGCTCTGCAGCATCGCCATCTCTTCCGCGTCTTCGGCCGATAATTGGTTCGCCATGGTCGATTCGGGTTCGGGCTGGAGCTGCGGCGCGTCGATCCGCGGCGGTCGCTCGGGCGTTCGCGGCGGAGCTGCGCGCGGCGGTCCCGACGCTTTTTCTGGGGCTCGGCTTTGCGGTTCGTCCGCAGTGAGGCTGGCTGCGCGGCTTTCGGCGCGTTTCAAGCCCGGATTTTTGCGTCAGGCGTCGGCACAGGTGTTTGAGAGACGCAGAGAGGACGTGTACTGCTGGCGGGACGCGTCTACTGGGCGCTCGTGCAGCGAGAAGCGGTCTATCTTGCTCGGCTCCGACACGACGAAGTGGGCCTCCGTGGCCGAATGACAGGGGTTAGTGTTGGTAGTCTCACTTTCAACAAGCCTTCAAGTTTGTCTCCGGGAGGTGCTGCTTCGCGATGACGAGCAGTGTGCTGTACCCGAGCAGCACCGCGCGTTCATGCTCACGGCGGCGGAGGAGGAGCGCAACCGGAGCTACAAGGAATGGCACGAGGCCAAGGAGCTCCGGCACGCGTACGAGCTCAACAAGCTCAAGCACACGCCCGCGTCGTCGCTCAACGTCGCCGCCGCGGCGCCCTTCACGCCCGCGCCGATCCTCGCGCCCATGCCGACGGCCGAGCTCCCCGTCGTCGTCGACCTCACGTTCAACGCGCCCGTCGTCGACCTCACGGGCAACGCGCCCGTCGTCGACCTCACGGGCAACGACACGACCTACTTCGTCGCCATGCACCCCAAGGACCTCCCCGGCACGGCGCCCGCGCCGACGCCCGCCGCGGCCATCGACCTCACGAACGACTCCGACGACTTCTTCCTCCGCGCGGCCGCGGGCATCGACGCCACGGACAACGCGGCCTTCGTCGAGTTCAAGGAGCACGACAAGCAGGCCGGCATCACCAAGACCGCCAAGATGTCGCCGCGCGGCGCCCCCCTCCCCCGCCGCGGCTAGGCTGAGAGAGACGCGCGTCCCAGAGAAGCCCCCTCGGGCTTCCCCCAACGGGCCACCGGCCCGGTATCCGGGAGTATCCTCCCTCCCCTAACTCCAGAGGTAACACCTATGGGGCTCACCCTGTTCTGGGTTATGGGCCCACTTGACGCCGCCGCATGAGCTGCGCCTCTGCTGCTGGCCGGCGGCATTCCTCATGCTGCCAGCCGCCGCAGCCCCAAGAGCGCGCGCGATGCCTCGCGCGCGCTGCAGCGCGCGGCGCGCGGGCGGCGCAGGAGCGCGTCCGCCCCGCGCCACGCGCCAACGCCGCCCAGGCCCGCCCACGCGGCGCACCAGGGCGGCGCCGACGCCTCGCGGCGTCCTGAGGGTGCCGCCATCGGCACCCCCGGTCGCGCGCCCCACGGCGCGCGGCTGCGTCGACTACGACGCTCGACGACGGCGACGGCACGCGCGGGCCCTGCCCGTCCGCCGTCCGCCGCCCTCCGCTCCCTTCCGGGGGAGCGGCCCTTCGACGCCTCCGGCGTCGCGCGGGCGCCGCCACCGGCGCCCGGCGTCGCGTGCCCGACGAGAGACTGCGTCTTTCGACGCTCGAGCGGCGACGGCGCGCGCGGGCCCTGCCCGCCCGCCGACCGCCGCCCTCCGCTCCCTTCCGGGGGAGCGGCCCTTCGACGCTCTGCGTCGCGCGGGCGCCGCCACCGGCGCCCGGCGTCGCGTGCCCGACGGCGCGCGACTGCGTCTTTCAACGCTCGAGCGGCGACGGCGCGCGCGGGCCCTGCCCGCCCGCCGACCGCCGCCCTCCGCTCCCTTCCGGGGGAGCGGCCCTTCGACGCCTCCGGCGTCGCGCGGGCGTCGCCACCGGCGCCCGGCGTCGCGTGCCCGACGGCGCGCGACTGCGTCTTTCGACGCTCGAGAGGCGACGGCGCGCGCGGGCCCTGCCCGCCCGCCGACCGCCGCCCTCCGCTCCCTTCCGGGGGAGCGGCCGGTCAAGGCTCTGCGTCACACGGGCGTCGCCACCGGCGCCCGGCGTCGCGTGCCCGACGGCGCGCGACTGCGTCTTTCGACGCTCGAGCGGCGACGGCGCGCGCGGGCCCTGCCCGCCCGCCGACCGCCGCCCTCCGCTCCCTGCCGGGGGAGCGGCCCTTCGACGCCTCCGGCGTCGCGCGGGCGCCGCCACCGGCGCCCGGCGTCGCGTGCCCGACGGCGCGCGACTGCGTCTTTCGACGCTCGAGCGGCGACGGCGCGCGCGGGCCCTGCCCGCCCGCCGACCGCCGCCCTCCGCTCCCTTCCGGGGGAGCGGCCCTTCGACGCCTCCGGCGTCGCGCGGGCGCCGCCACCGGCGCCCGGCGTCGCGTGCCCGACGGCGCGCGACTGCGTCTTTCGACGCTCGAGCGGCGACGGCGCGCGCGGGCCCTGCCCGCCCACCGACCGCCGCCCTCCGCTCCCTTCCGGGGGAGCGGCCCTTCGACGCTCTGCGTCACACGGGCGTCGCCACCGGCGCCCGGCGTCGCGTGCCCGACGGCGCGCGACTGCGTCTTTCGACGCTCGAGCGGCGACGGCGCGCGCGGGCCCTGCCCGCCCGCCGACCGCCGCCCTCCGCTCCCTTCCGGGGGAGCGGCCCTTCGACGCCTCCGGCGTCGCGCGGGCGCCGCCACCGGCGCCCGGCGTCGCGTGCCCGACGGCGCGCGACTGCGTCTTTCGACGCTCGAGCGGCGACGGCGCGCGCGGGCCCTGCCCGCCCGCCGACCGCCGCCCTCCGCTCCCTTCCGGGGGAGCGGCCCTTCGACGCCTCCGGCGTCGCGCGGGCGCCGCCACCGGCGCCCGGCGTCGCGTGCCCGACGGCGCGCGACTGCGTCTTTCGACGCTCGAGCGGCGACGGCGCGCGCGGGCCCTGCCCGCCCGCCGACCGCCGCCCTCCGCTCCCTTCCGGGGGAGCGGCCCTTCGACGCTCTGCGTCGCGCGGGCGCCGCCACCGGCGCCCGGCGTCGCGTGCCCGACGGCGCGCGACTGCGTCTTTCAACGCTCGAGCGGCGACGGCGCGCGCGGGCCCTGCCCGCCCGCCGACCGCCGCCCTCCGCTCCCTTCCGGGGGAGCGGCCCTTCGACGCTCTGCGTCGCGCGGGCGCCGCCACCGGCGCCCGGCGTCGCGTGCCCGACGGCGCGCGACTGCGTCTTTCAACGCTCGAGCGGCGACGGCGCGCGCGGGCCCTGCCCGCCCGCCGACCGCCGCCCTCCGCTCCCTTCCGGGGGAGCGGCCCTTCGACGCTCTGCGTCACACGGGCGTCGGCGCGCGCGGGCCCTGCCCGCCCGCCGGTCGCCGCCACGTCCTCGACGATATACTGGCAACACGGGTCGCGCGCGGCACCGTGCTCTGCCTCGCCTTCGGCTCCGAACCCCCGACGCCGCTGATCCCGGCCGTCGGTTGGCTCTCGGGGCCGACGCGACGAGCTGCGGCTCTATCGCGAACCGACGCTGATGATCACAGCGTCCGCTCGCATCAACACACCGGATAGTCGTGTGTGCCGCTGATCACGGCACGACGCCTCTACCGCCTCACGCCCCCGTCTCTACCGACCGGCTTGGCCTTCGCCCCCTCGCGCCTCGTCCCCGACGACGAGCTCGCTGCACGTGGCCACGCGCCGACGACTCATGCGTCCGCGACTCTGTGGCCGCGCCCTTCTCCTTGCCCTCGCCTGCGTCCGCGGCCCGCCTCGGCGCACACGGGCTCTCCTGCGTGCCATCCGGTGGCACGCAGAGGGTTCCCGGATACCGGGCCTTGTGGCCCCTCTCTTCGGCGTCCGCCGCCTGTCTGCTCTTTTTGTTCCCCGGGGACGCTGCGCACTGCGCGCTTCGCGGTTCTCCCCGCGGCGGGGGAGCAGAGAAGCCCCCTCGGGCTTCCCCCAACGGGCCACCGGCCCGGTATCCGGGAGTATCCTCCCTCCCCTAACTCCAGAGGTAACACCTATGGGGCTCACCCTGTTCTGCGTCCCAAGAAGCACCCGAATGATCCGGCGCACCCCCCCACTCCCTACGCGCCCCACGCCCCCGACAGCGTAACAACATAGACTCGCCTGAGCGAGCTCGCCGGGACGCCCTGGCACGCGCTCCGTCGAGGCGTCCCGTGGCGCCGCGCTCGCGGCGTATCGGCCGGCTCGAGGACCGGAGAGCGCTCTCCGCACCACGGCAGGGCAATGGTCCCACGCCAGCGCCACCTCGCGATGCTGGTCATCGCGTCCTACGCGTCGTGCCTCGCGCAACAAAGCACAAAGCGCCACAGCCCACCACGGCTGCGCCGCACGAGCCCGCGGCTGTGCAGCAGCACCGGCGGCTTCACGTCCGACGACACCACAACACCGCGCCTCGTCGCCTGGTACGACGCGCAGCTCCGGCGACACCCGCTCCGCACGAAGGTCGCCTCGTCGGGCCTCGCGTCGGCCGTCGGCGACGCCGTCGCGCAGGCCGTCACGGGCGGGGCCTTCGACGCGCGGCGGTGCGCGTCGTTCGCGCTCGTGGGAGCGGCGTACTTCGCGCCGATCCTCCACGGCTGGTACGAGGTCCTCGCCGCGCGGGAGCGGCGCTGGCGCGCCGACGGGATGGGCCGGTGGCCGAGCGTGCTGCTCCAGCTCCTGCTGAACCAGTCGCTGGGGGCCCTGACGGTCAACGCGGGTTTCTTCTTCGCGCTCGCCGTCGCCGAGGACGCGCTCGCGCTCGACCTCTCCGTGCGGACGCTCGAGGGCGCGCGGCGCGCGCTCGGCGACCAGTACCTCCTGGTCATGCGCGCGAACTGGCTCGTCTGGCCGCTGCCGTCGCTCGTGAACCTCGCCTTCGTGCCGCTCCGCTACCGCGTCCTCTTCATGAACGCCGTCGCCGTCGTCTGGAAGACGATCCTGTCGCTCATCACCAAAGGGGGTTAACTATCTCAACGTACGCTGCTTGCGCGGCTCTAGAGACGCGCCCGGGACGGAACGTCGCCGGGAACACAGCTATACGCGGACGTTCCCCCCTCACGCGGCGTCCGGGACGCCGCGGCGGGGACGTCGCCGGGAACACAGCTATACGCGGACGTCCCCCCCTCACGCCGCGTCCGGGACGCCGCGGCGGGAACACAGCTATACGCGGACATCCAGGCTCCGCTGGAGGTAGCGGAACCAGCCCGCCGCGGAGAGCGCGCCCGCCGCGCGGAGCGCCGCGAGCCGCGGGCCCGCCGACGCCCACCACCGGTCCCGCGCGGCCGCGTCGGCGACGTCGTCCCAGGCGTCGACGAGGACCATGGGCCAGCCCGCGGCGGCGAGGGCCTCGAAGGCCGGCTCCCGGAGGCACACGGGCACGGCGCCCGCGAGGAGGGCCTCGTACCACTTGGGCGACTGGACGCCGTGGCCCGCGGGGTCGAGCATGAATTTGTGGCCCGCGAGCGCCGCCCACCAGTCTTCGCGGGCCACGGCGCCGCAGTCGAGCCAGGCCTCGCCGCCGCGCCGCGCGCAGAGGTCGGTCGCGGCCGCGCGGCCGGGGAGCCGCGCCGTCGTCGACGCCTTGCTCCAGACCGCCCCCCAGGCCGCGAGCACGTCCCCCGTCTTGTTCGGCGCGGCGGCCGCCGCGGACGCGAGGAGCGGCGCGAGGTCCGCCTCCTGGAGGTAGAGCTCGTTGAGGCCGATGGGCGCCTGCGGAAGGAGCGGGGGTTCGAGGTATAGGGGAATGATCTCGACGCGCGGAGACGAGACGCCCCGCCGCATAAAAAAACGGACGCCGCCGCCGGACGACGTCGACCCAGCGCGGCCGCACGTCCAGCCCTTCGAAGTGGATCCGGGCGAACCAGGGCCGGACCGCCTCGAGCGCGGCGCGCGTCGACCGCCCGCCCGCGAGCTTCGTGCGCCCCGACCTGTGTGGAAATCAAATCTTCAACCCGACTTCAATGTGCGCGTAATCGAACGATTTGGACCAGACTCTTTCGCTGTGCTTCGAGAACTCGACGAGAGCAATCGATCCGTCCAAAAATCAGCCGAATCGACTTCGATTTGATTGAGATAGAGAGTTCTGAAGTTTGGTGGGGACCCCCCAAACCAGTGGTTGATTTCCACACAGGCCCCGACAGCCGCGCGTCGGAGCCGCCCACGTAGAGCAGGCGCCGCCGCGCCGCCGGCGCCACGCGCTCGAGCCGCGCGCGCAGGGCCCGCAGGGCCTCGGGCTGCGCGAAGACGAACGTCGGGTCTAGCAGGCCCTTGTCCCACGAGAACTCCGGCCGCGCGAGCGCGAGCCAGTCGAAGTCGCCGAAGAAGGCCGGCACGGGGCTCCGCGGGCCGCCGTAGGTCGCGTCCTTGCGCGACACGCCGCCCCCCGGCAGGGACCGCTTGAGCCCGCGCCAGTAGCGCGTCACGGGATACGCCGACGTCACGACGTCGAGCGGCGTCGCGGCGCCGCGCCGGTCGCAGCCGACGCCCTGGGCCTCGCAGGCGCGGTTCCAGAGCGGCTGCGGCGGGCAGGTCGCCGGCGCCGTCGCCGTCGCGCAGGGCGCGGGCGCGCCGCACGCGTCGGGCGCGCCTCGCGAAACCGCCGCCGGGTCGTTGTCGCGGCGCCAGCCGCGCGCGATTTCGCCGAGGTCTCTCTTGAGTTGGGTTTCACAAAGAACGACGTCGCAGGGCTCGCCGCAGACCGTGCCGTCGGCTCTCGCGACGCAGAACGACAGGCCGCGCCTGGCGCCTCGGAAGAGGCCCTCGAGGAAGGCCGCCGCGGCCGGGCACGCCTCGGCGCCGACGAAAAAACCGTTCCACGGCCGCAGGCCGCGTCGCACGTTGTCCTCGGGCGCCGTGCCGATGAGCTCCGCCGCGCGGGTTGTCGCGAGGAGGACGAGTACGGCGGCGCGCCGTCGAGGCATCGGTCACGCAAATACCACAACCCACTCGGCGAGCCTGCTCCGTGTCGTAGACGAGGTGCGCCACATCGACCCCGGGGGGACGCCGCCCGCCCCGCGCACAAACCCGCCGAGACACGCTCCGTTCGCACGATCGCACCCCCGCGCCCCCTCGCCCCCCTCGACGCCACACCCAGCACACAAAACCCCCAAAAGAAACATTTTAGGCAAAATGTCGCGCGAGGAGCCGCCGACGGCGTCGATGGTCGAGTACGAGGAGAAATTCCAGGCGGAGATCGCGGAACGCCAGGCGCGCGACGACACGCTCAAGGCCGAGCGCGAGGCCGCGGCGGCGGAGGCGCTCGAGGCGCTCGACGACGAGCGGCGCGCGAAGGTCATGGACGTGACCATGAAGGAGAACCGCGAGAAGGAGCAGCACTACCTCGAGGAGGTCCAGCGCCAGCTCGAGAACGACAACCCCTGGGAGCGCATCACGACGCTCGTGGACCTGCAGCAGGGCACGTCCGACGAGGTCTGCGACGTCGCTCGCGCGCGGTCCATCCTCATCCAGAAGAAGAACGAGTTCAAGGGCGACGCCGCGTAGGGTGCGCGGCGCGGGGGACGCGCCGCCGTCCCGCCGCGGCGACCGCGGCCTCGCGCGCCTTACGAGACGTCGAACTAGAGACTCGCCGTCGAACTTCGCCGTCGGACTAGGGAACGTTACCGCGACCGTATGAACGCCGTCGCCTTGGGCCACCGCGTCGCCTCGGGCTTGCGCGGCTCGAAGAGCGCCGTGACGCGGCCGACGGAGTCCGGCAGCGTCGCGACGGCGCCGCGCGCGCCGCGCGCCGCGCCGTCGAGCGCGGAGACGGTCCGCGCGAGCGCGGCCGCGAGGCCCGCCTGCTCCTCGGAGAGGAGCCGCGCGACGTCGTCGAGGACGCGCGCCTGCTCCGGCGCGGCGACCCAGTCCGCGACGCCGCGCTTCATGGCCTCGATCTTCGCCGCGTCCGTCTCCGCGAGGCTCACCGCCTCTTCGAGCGGCCTGGGCAGGAAAAGGGTGCGAAATTCCCAACTTTGGAGGCTCGTATCTCGGTCGGTTTCCACTCGTTTCGGCTAATTCTTGGACGAGCGATCATCTCTCGGAGCGCTCTCGACGCGTGGATGCTTTCTCTGGAACAATCGCGCGCGGAACACGCATGTTGAAGCGAACTTGAAGCACTCTTTTCCTGCCCTTCGAGCGGCGGCTCGAGGCGCACGTAGGTCGCGCCGCGCTTGTCGAGGGCGCGCCGCGCCGCGCGGCGGATGCGCGGCTCGTGCTCCCAGGACAGGCCCAGGCTCCGAAACAGCCGCTCCGTGAACGCCGCGTCCTCGAGGCCGTCGACGTCCGCGCGGCGGAACCGCGCGATGCGCGGCCGCGCGCGCGCGCGAGCCTCGCCGCGCCGCCGCCCCTCGCGCTTCCGGCGCTTCTGCTGGCCGCAGCCCAGGGACACGACGACGCCCACGGGCCGGTCGGGCCAGAGCGCCGCGACCTCGCTCAGCGCGAGGAGCGTCGGGTCGTTCGCGACGATGCCCCCGTCGACGTAGACGTCCGCGCCCGCCTCGCCCTCGATGGCCACGGGCGCGAAGAAGGTCGGCGCCGCGCAGGTCGCCGCGACGGCCTCCCAGAGCCGCGCGTCGCACCGGCCCGCCGCGAGCGCGCCCGGCGGCGGCTCGTACGTCCGGAAGAGAAACGGCTCGAGCGCGCCGCCCTCGGTCTCGCGCGCGGCGACGGCGAAGGCCCGCGGCCGGAACGGGGATGCGGCTCGCTTCGGGGGCGGCGCCGCGGGCTCCGAGCCGTCGTAGTAGCCGACGGCCAGGGGCGCGAGCGCGCGCGCCGAGAGCGCGTCGCGCGCGGCCCGGACGGCCCGCAGCGCGTCCCGGCCCCGGCCCGACGCGAAGCCGAGCGTGTCGGGGAGGTCGAGGCGCGCCGCCGCGGGCGGCGCCGCGGCCCGCGCCGCCGGGGCCAGGAGCGGCCGGTCGGGCCCGACGCGCGCGGACACGACCTCGCCGGGCGCGCGCCGCGCGGCGTAGCCGCGCACGAGGAGCCGCCAGCTCGACGCGCCGACGAAGCAGGCCTCGCGCATCTGGTCCGACGCCTCGCGCGCCTCCGCGAGCGGGCGGTCCAGGTGCGCCATGAAGAGCGCGCCCGCGCCGCCGATGGACGTGCCGCAGACGAGGTCGAAGCGCTCGTGCACCGGCGCGCCTAGGCGCGCCTCGAGCGCCTCGAGCATGCACAACAAATTCACGCCGCGCATGCCGCCGCCGTCCATGCACAGCACCCGGAGCGGCCGCGGCCGCGGCGCCGACGGCGCGAACGGCCGCGCGGCCGCGGCCGCCAGGCGCCGGAGGCGCCGCGGCTCCGGGGGCCGCGGGTGCGTCAGGGCCTCGGGCGGGTCGGAGAAGGCCGTCGCCTCGACGCGGAACCGCTGCTCGAGGATGTCGACGCGCGCCGCGCGCATGAATAAAACCACGAGCCGCGCGGTGTCGAACGCGGGCGTCCACGGCAGCAGCGCCGGCACGAGGCTCCAATAAAGCGCGGACCCGCGCCCGCCGCCGAGGAGGACGACGCCGGCGCCGGCGCCGAGGCCGATGGCCGACCGCCGCAGCCGGCGCCGCAACCGGCGCCGCGGCCGCTCCGCGAGGGCGTGCGCCGGGCTCGCGGCGGCGCAGCGGCGCACTCGTGGTCGGATCACGCGGGTGGTGGGTGCGACCAGCGCCTGCGCGCAGGCGCAGACGACGACGACCCACGCCGCACGCATGACGCGGCGGGCGGAGTCGGTGCCACCCCTGAGATGTCCTTGCAGAATCAGCACCTCAACCACTTCCTAAACCCCCTTGTTTTACGTTTCACAGTCATCCGCGCGCCCACACAACAACTTGAGGGGGGTCGGTGGCGCCCTCGGCGCCCTCGGCGCCCTCGGGACGAGGGCGCCGCCCCCTCGGCCGACGCCCTCGGCTGAGGGATTTTCCCCTCGTCCGAGGGAGCCGAGCGTCCGAGGGTCCGAAAGGGCCGAGGGCGCCGAGGGCGCCGACGGCCGCTGATTGGCCAAGGCACGCCCGGCCGATCAGCAGCCCTTCGGCCATCCGTCGTTTTAAGGTTATGAGGGGGGGCGGCAGCCCAAAGGCGCAGCCCTTGGGCGTCCCTGGGCGCGCCGTGGGTGCCGGCATTGACGCCCACGGTCGCGACGGTCCCCGAGACGGGGCGCAGCCAAGAGCGGCGGCCGTGCGGCGCTTTCCCCTCGCGGCGCCGTGGGCTGCCTACACGTCGGCGCGGGCACGAGGTCCTGTCGGTCCTAGGCCGCGCAGTCGCCCCAGTCGATGATGGAGCGTGGCCCGGGGGCGGCCAGGGATGATCTCTCCTGGCTGCTGACGCTGGTGCTGCCGTGGATCATCACGGAGTCTCCGTCGGACCGCCGCGGCGCCCGAGCCCCGACCGGACGAACTCGACGATTTCGAGTCTCACGACCCAGCCCTTGTACCGAGACGACGCCTGGGTGACGACGAACGATTCCCGATGCTGCAGTGACTCGAAACGAGTCGATGGGTTGGGAGGCGTCGAGCGCGCCCCACCCGAGCCTCTGAGAATCGCCCGCCTGTTCCCCGACGCCATCGCCTGGACGTCCCGTTTTCACCGGCGCGTCGTCCGTCAGGATGCGGCCCATGCAGCCACTGAGATCGTTGCGCATCTCCGCGTATTCGCTGAGCGGCGCGGGTGCAAAGCCTGTCATCAATCATGCAGCCCGGACATCCAGCGCCCGGGGGTCACCAACGGTTCGCCGCCCTCGTCCGATGGACGTGCGCTCGTCCGACGGCCGTGCGCTCGTCCGACGGCCGAGTCCTCGTCCGAGGGCGCCGATCCGCCGTCCGAGGGTCCGAGGGCGTCGGCCGAGGGGGCGGCGCCCTCGTCCCGAGGGCGCCGAGGGCGCCGAGGGCGCCACTGACCCCCCTCAAACAACAACTTCCACAACAGTCACGGTGATGCGAGGCGCTTTTACCTTACACCCCGGACCTCGTCCTTCGCAAGCCGACCCGCAACCCGCGTCCCCCCGATCACCCGAAGACGATGCTGGACCGGCCGCCCGGCGGCGCGAGGACGCGGGACGTGCGGCGGTCCGTGAGCATGTTGCCCGTGTTCTGGTTCGTGCCCTTGGACGCGAACGCGTTCGAGGACACGCCGCCGCGGGACCCGTAGCCGGGCAGGTTCGCCTTGAACTGGTCGTAGTCGCCGAGCGCCGCGCTCGGCGGCGGCGCGGCGCGGGGCTGCTCGTGGCGCGCGACGCGCGCCGTCGTCGGCGCCGGCGACGCGCCGCGGCTCGCCGCGGGCGCGAGGGGCAGCGCGCCCGACGCCATGCCCATGGCGCCCATGTTCATGTACTTGCGGTAGGCCTCCTCGCGGGCCTGGACGCTGCGCTCGCGGGACCGCTGCTGCTCGACCTCGCCGTCGACCTGCCGGCGGAGCTGCGCGGCCTCGCGGGCGACGCGCGCGTCGTCCGCGCGGTCCGCCTCGACGCGGCGGCGCCGGTCCTCGGCCCGCTGGCACTCGCGGGCCTCGACCTGGGCCCGGAGCTGCGCCTGGTAGTCGTCGGCGTTGGTCTGGCGCGGCGCCGCGACGCCGCCGCCGATGGACCACGAACTGCCGCCGCCGGGCGGCTGCGAGACCTTGCTGCTCGGGCGGCGCCGCGGCGGCTGCGACGGCTCGGCGGGCTCCGGCGCGAGCGCGGGGCGCGCGAAGGGGTCGTCGTGGCGCGGCGCCTCGACCATGCCCGACGCCTTCGTGAACATGTCCACGCGGTGGGGCACGGCCATGCCGGGCACCTGCTGCAGGCCCGTCTGCCGCGCCTGCTGCGAGTCCTGCCGCTGCTGCTCGGCGCGCCTCGCCGCGGCGCGCGCCTTCTTCTCCTCCCAGCGCGCGATGCGCGACGCGTTGCCGGGGCCCTCGGACATTATAAACGCTGGCAGACAACAGAGTGCAGTGCAGGGTTGCAGGGCTGGGCTGCGGGCTGCCGCTGCGGCGGGTGAGACTAACGACGGCACGGTCGCGGCATCGTTGGTTCAAGAAAAAGGTGTTGCTCCGCGCGACGATGCGTCTGACTCGGAACTGAGCTACCACGCTTGTCTCGCTCGACAATTCCAAACAACGCTTCACGCCTAGCTCGCGCACTGCTCGTCAGGTCAGGTCCCAGCGATCATGCGCCGGCGTCTCCTGCTCGCGCTCCTCCTGCGCACGGCGCGCGCGCTCACGGTCCCGCGCCGCGCCGCGCGGCGCCCCACGGCCCTCGCGAGCCTCAAGGTGACGATCCTCGACCCCGACGACGCGGCGGCCCAGGGCGTGCGCGAGTGGCCCTTCTCGTCGCGCCCCGCGGGCGACAGCGAGGAGACCGTCGCGGCCGGCGCGGTGCGCTACGTGCTCAAGGGCGAGGGCGAGGTCGAGTGGTCCGACTACGCGGGCGGCGTCGCGGCCGGCGACGCCGTCGCCGTCGGCCCCGGGTCGCTCGTCGAGGCCGAGGCCCAGTGCAACGTGCGCTGGCGGAGCGACGCCGGCTTCACGATCCTCACGCCGGGCTTCGAGGACTGGTCCGCCTACGGCGGCGTCCTCGCGGCCGTCGCGGCCGTCTTCGCCTACCTCTTCGCGACCTTCGCGTCCTAACGCGCGAGCCTAGGCCTCGGGAGCGTCGGCGGGCAGCTTGAGGTAGTAGCCGCGGTCCTCGCCGCGCGCGGACCGCGGCAGCGGCCGGAGCGGCCTCTCGTCGCGCGCGGGCTTGCGCTTGGACCGCGGCGACCGGCGGCGCGCGCGGAGCGGCTCGCGGAAGCGGTCCGCGTCGCCGTCGGGGGGGGGCGCGAAGTACCAGGGCAGCGGCAGCGCGAAGGGCGACGCGAGCGCCGGGTGCGGCGCGGCGGACGGCGGCGGCCGCGCGGGGAGCTCGGGCGACTCGGGCGCCGCGGGCGCGTCGCGGGCCGCCGCGGGCGCGCGCGGCGACGGCCGCGCGGGCGCGTAGGCCGGCGGCCGCTCGTGCGCGGCGTCCTCGAGGACCGCGAGCCGCCGCTGGATGTCGCGGAGCGCGTCGAGCGCGTACTCCGCGTCGGACCGCGCGGCCGCGAAGCCGTCGCGCAGGGCGCCCCGGAGCTCGTCGCCCGTCGCCTTGGCCTCGGCCGCGGCGGCCGCGGCGGCCGCGGCCCCGTCGCCGCCGCGGTCCTTCGCGGCGCCGTCCCTCGGGGACCGCGCGAGCCCCGCGGCCTTGGCGACGCCGGCGATGGCGTCGAGCGCGCCCGCGAGGTGGTCGACCTTGTGGTGGCACTGGACGATCTCCTCCCAGGCCGCGCCGACGGACGCGATGATCTTGTCGTCGTTCGACATGTCGTCGCCGTCGGAGAGCTCCGCGATGTCGCCGAGCAGGTCCGGCAGGAAGCAGAGCACGAAGACGAGGATGACGATGATGACGAAGCGCCCGACCTGCGTCGCCGGGTACATGTCGCCGTAGCCCACGGTCGAGAAGGTGACGATGAGGAAGTAGATGCAGCGGTCGTAGGACCGGAACGCGATGTTGCAGTTCCCGAGCTCCTCGAGGCGGTCGTGGCGCACGGCGTTGGGGCCGCAGGGGTACTCGGCGCAGGAGATGAGGGCCCCCATGCTCAGGACAATAAAAATCATCTTGAAGAGCAGCGTGATGAAGCGCACGTAGACGCCGTTGAGCCGGAGCGACGGCACGCCCACGTAGCCGTAGCGCATGAGCACGAAGCGCTCGAAGCGCAGGCCCCGCAGGAACCGGAAGACGCCGAATAAAATGAACATGCTGTAGCCGCCGACCTTGGTGCCCGCGTAGCCCTCGGCCTCGAGGATCCGCGGGTACGCGACGCCGAGCACGCAGCCGAGGTCGATGAGGTCGAGGGCGACCCAGAGCTTGGGCTCGTACATGGTCTTGGGCGCCGTCACGCGCAGCAGGCCGTTGAGGACGGCGTTGAGCCCCACGGCCCAGAGCACGAAGATCTCGAGCCTGAGGAAGTCGGACACGGCGCGGCCGTTGATGCCCAGGGGGTTGTCGTTCGCGTCGCCGCGGCGCCAGGGGTGGTCCCGCGTCGCGTGCTTGTGGCCGCCGACGACGTAGTGGAGGTGCAGCGGGTCGCCGGGCTCGTCGACGAGCGCGACGAGGCGCAGCCCGTCGAGGTACGAGACGACGGCCGCGATGGACACGAGGAACTGGAGGAACTCGTAGGACGCCGACCGCGCGACGGACCGCAGGCGCGCGAGGCCGCCCCCGGGCGCCGCCGGGTCCACGGGGAAGATCCACCGCGGGCTCCACGCCGCCAAGACGTCGGAGACGCCGAGCGACGCGACGACGAACGCCGCGGCGGCGCAGCCCCCGTAGGCGAAGGACCGGCCGGGCCGGAGGTCGCAGGACGCGCAGCGCACGCCGCCGTAGACGTCCTGCGTGAGGAGGTCGAGGTAGCGCGCGCCGCCGTAGTACGACGCGGCCGCGAGCGCGCCGACGGAGACCCAGCTCCACGCGAGCGGCCGGTCGAAGCCAGCGTCCTCGGCTCGCAGCACCGTGGAGCAGCCCCAGCCGCTGCGCTCCTCCTTGTCCGGCTTGCGCCGCGCCGCCATGCTCTTGACGCGCTCCATCTTCTCGTGCATGGCGTGGGCCTGGGCCTCGTGCGCCGCGAACTCGGCGGCGGTCTCGCGGTGCCCCCGCGGGCTGTGGTGGGGCACGACCTGGCTCCCCGGCATGGTCGCGTTGACCTTCGCGTCGCGATGGTTCACGCCGTAGTCGGAGCCAGCCATGCGGCGGCGCGCAACCGAACCCGCGCGCTGCTCGAAACGCCGGCTTCAATATATATGCAACCAAAACTTGTCGCCGACATCAATCAGTGCCCATCAGATCGTGCGCGGCGTGCCGCAAGTGTCCATCATCAGCGCGTGTCACCTTTCTGGCCGCAGCACCCTAGCACCGCCATGACGTCGCCCATCGCGGTGATCCGCACCGTGAGCAAGGAGAGCGGCGCGTGCGAGGTCGCGGCGCTCGCCGGCTCGCCGGACCAGATTCTGACCAAGAAGCCTTCGCTGGTGCGCTCGCCGTCGTCGCCGCGGCGCAAGCGCACGTCCGACGACGCCCGGAGCCCCGCGGGGTCCTTCGACGACGGCGACGCCCGCCCGCCGAAGCGCGTCAACTCCTACAGCGAGCTCAATTTCGGCGCGATCTGCCGCGTCGACTCGCTCGCGTCGATGGCGCTGCCCGAGCTCGGCGCGACGGAGTCGTCGGGCCCGCCGCCGCCGGCGTCGTCGCCGTCGAAGCGCGAGGCCTGGGCGCCCCGCCTCGCGGACATCACGGCGTCGCCCGTCGCGGCGACGCGGTCGCTCGGCGGCGCCGCCGCCGACGCCGCGCCGCGCGTCGAGCGCGTGTCGCTCGCGCCGCCCGCGGCGGGCCCGCCGCCGTCGCCCGTGCGCGCGGCGCCCGCGCGCGCGGCGCCGGCGGCGTCGCCCGTGCGCCGGTCCGCGCGCCACGCGCCGCGGCGCGACCTCCGGCGCCGCGAGAACTCGTTCTCGGAGCTCGGGCTCGTCGGCGAGGAGCCCCCGGACTCGGCGGCGCCGCCGTCGCCGCCCATCGAGATCAAGCCGCCGCAGCTCACGCCGTCCCTGCCCGTCGCCGTCGCCCGCTCCTGGGACGCGCCGCCCCGCGACTCCGACGGCTACCCGCAGTCCCGGAGCCGCGGCTTCACGGAGACGCTCGACTTCGGCGGCTTCTCCCCGAGCCCGACGCGCAAGAACCGGAGCGCGTCCTCCTGGCTCTGACCGCCGCGCCTGTGTTGTTGTGCCCCGTCGCCTCGAAGCCCCCCGCCCGGACGCGGGCGAAGCTAACGCACGTATGAATCAGCCGTCCGCGGTGCGCTCTACGCGGCCTGGCCCGACGCGCGTGGCGTGCCGCGCGTGCAAGCGAGCCGAGCCCGGCCTCGACCGCACTAGGAATGCCCGTATGTAGTACATTGTCTGGACCACGTTTTTATGGCGTTCAAGTTTTTTGCGCGTTTTTTGCGCGTGTTTTGGTACCTGGCGCGCGGCCCGCGTCCTTCGCGAGCGCGCCATCCCCCCGCGCGCGAGCACGACACAACACACGCGCGCATCCAAAGAGGCCAAAAGGGGGGGGGTCAGGGCCCCTTCTTCGTTACGACCTTGCCGTTGGGCTCGAGCGCGTAGCCGCGCGCGGAGAGCTTGCCCGCGTCGTCGGCGGGGAGGCGGACGCCGTGGCTGTCCGGGAGCTCGATGCGCTTCTCGTTGACGACGCGCGCCATCTCGAGCATGGCCTCGCGGCTCGGCAGCGGCCGCGCGGAGTAGCCGTCCTCGGCGGCGAGCTCGTCGACCTTGCGGACGTCGCGCGCGGAGACGGCGTCGCGGCCGCTGTGGAGCGCGAGGTCCCGCGCGTCGCTCAGCAGCGCCTGCACCGTGCGGTGCATCTGCTCGAGCACGACGCCGACGACCTCGGGCTCGTAGTGCTCGACGGCCAGCGACGCGAGCAGGGCCTCCGCGACGCGCTCCTCGCCGTCGTCCATCGGGCGCGGATCGGCGCGCGCGGGCGGCGCGACGGACCGGACCGGACCGGACCGGGCGCCGGCGAGTCGGCGCGCGGCGTCGAGCAGCGCGGCGCGCGCGCGACGGCGAGGTCGGGCAAGCAGAGGCAAGTTGGGCAAGCAGAGGCAAAGTTGCCGCCGTCTCGACGGGACGCGCGCCGCAATGGACGACGTCCTCGCCCTTACGCGAACGCGCCGTAGCGGCCGTGGAACTGGGCCGCGTCGCTGCGGATGCGCGCGCAGACGGCGGGCCGCTCGAGGTAGCCGACGTCCGGGCTGCCCGCGGACGGGAGCTCGACGACGCGGCGGAGCGGCGGCCCGGCGCCGAGCCGCGTCCGCAGGAGGAGGAGGCCCGAGCACATCGTCGCCGCGCCGGCCCGGGTCATGCGCGCGGCGAGCGCGTCGGCGTCGGCGGGCTGCTCGCGCCTCCCCGCCGCGTAGGCCGCCGCGTCCTCGACGTGCGCGGCGTCGTAGAAGAGGAGCGCGTCCAAGTCGTCCGGCGCGTGCGCGTCGCACCAGGCGCCGACGTCGGCGAACTCGGACGCGACCAGCGCGACGCCCGTGTCCGCGAGGGCGCCGGCGATCCGGGCCACGAGGGGCGCCAGCACCGCGTTGCCGTCGTCGCCGCCGCCGGCGAACGTCGCCGCGCCGCCGGCGACGAACGGCGGGTTCGCGACGACGACGTCGAAGGGCCCCGCGGGGAGCCCCGCCGCGGCGTCGCGGAGCTCGAACGCGCACCCCTCGACGCCGTTGAGCGCCGCGTTGAGCCGCGCGAAGCGCAGCGCGCGCGCGCTCACGTCGACGAGCGTCGACGCCGCGCCGCCGCGGCAGAGCGCCTGGACGCCGGACCCGCAGCACGCGTCGAGGACCGCGTCGCCCGGCGCGTCGTAGAGGAGGGCGAGCTCGAGGCTCTCCGTGCCCACGGCCATGACCGCGTCGGCCTCGTCGAGGAGCGACTCCGACGACCAGTCCGTCGCGACGAGCCGGCCGCGCACGGGGAAGAGCTGCGCCGCGGCCGCGACCCGCTCGTCGTCGACGCGGTGGAGGAAGCGCGTCTCCAGGAGGATCACGACGGCGCGGGCGCCGAGGCGGCGCCGCAGCTCCGCCTCGGGCACGGCGACGCCCACGAGGAACGCGGCGACGCACGCGTCGAGCGCCTGCGCGGGACCGGAGAGACGCGACGTCGCCGCGACGCGAGCGCGCCGCGCGCGCGCGTTCCGGAACACGCATGCACGCGTCGAGACCGTTCCAAGACATGATCGCTCGTCCAAAAGTCAGCCGAAACGAGTGGCACACGGCCGAGAGAGGCGCCTCTGGGAAGTTCGCGCTCTCGTCCCGCCCCGGCGCGCGCGTCGAGCGCGTCGTCCGACAGCGCGAGGCGCAGGTCGTGCCACCGGGGCCCCGACGCGTGCGCCGGCAGCGCCGCGGCGGCCTCCCGCGACCGCGCGTCGCACGCCGCCGCCGCCGCGAGCGCGGCGGTCGCGGTCGCGGCGCCGTAGACGCCCCGGAGCGCGAGTAGCGCGTCGCGGTGGTCGCCGTCGACCTCGAAGGAGAGCGCGCCCGGCCGGAAGCGCGCCTTGCGCGTCCCCGAGCGCCGCCGCAGGTCGCCGTCGAGGCGGAAGGCCGCGTCGACCTCGGCCTCGACCGCGCCGACGGCCGCGCCGGCGCGCTGGAGCACGCCCGCGAGGTTGAGCCGCGCGTCCCAGGCCAGGGGCTCGAGCCGCGCGGCCCTGCGCAGCGCGGCCTCGGCGCCGCCGACGTCGCCCGCGGCCTCGCGCGCGACGCCGAGGTTGAACCACGCGTCCGCGAACCCGGGGTCCACCGCGACGGCGCGCTCGAGGAGCGCGACGGCCGCGGCGGGGTCGCGCGCCGCGAGCTCGCGGTCCGCGCGCGCGCGGAGCGCCTCGGGGTCCTCGCGCTCCTTCCACCGGATGGGCGAGCCCGACCCTCGCGGCGCCGGCGCCGCGGCCGCGGCTTCCGGCGCGGCGGCGCCGTCGCCGTCGTCGAGGGCCGGGGCGCCGCCGTCGAGGACGGCGAGCACGTCGGCCAGCGGGCTGCGCGTCGGCTCCTTGCGGCGGTCGACGAGCGACGCCATGGCTTACCGTTCCTAGGGCTCTTCGCTGCGGTCACAGCCTCGTGGGCATCCCCATGGGTCGCGCCTACAAGCAAAAGCATCATCGACCTCAATCGCGTCATTGACTGCCATCGCATGGGCTGCCTCCGGAAGCCTAATCGGGCGGCGGCTGCCCGAATGTTCACGACTGCGGCGCGACCGCGCCGCTGAGCCAGACGCGCGTCGGCTGCCCGAATCGTCCGATGGGCATGATCGTCATCCCGGAGCGATCCATGAAGAGCGACGAGTGGCTCGTGCGCGTCAAGTTCTACGGCGTGCCGCCGTCCGTCGCCGCCGACGGCCTGGCCATCGAGCTGGGGCTATGCAACGGCCACGGGCATCCCGTCATCCCGCCCGCGGAGAAGCGGCGCTTCTGGACGCTCGCGTGCGAGGTCGGCGGCGCGCCCGTGCCGCTGGTCAAGGACGCGCGCGGCGCGCGCTGGCGCGGGCGCGTCGACGCCGCGGCGCTCCGCGGCGACGTCGACGTCGTCGCGCGCGTCGGCGGCGCGGACGTGCCGCTGCGCGCGTTCGACGTGCTCCCCGCGGCGCTCGAGGTCCGCGGGGGCCGCGTGGCCGAGGTCCGCGACGTCGCCGCGGGCGGCCTCGAACCGATCCGCGTCGCGGAGAGCGCGCGGCTCGTGTCGAACAACGAGCTCGTCCTCGCCGCATACCTCGCGGACGTGAAGCGCTTCGCCGCCGGCAGCGTTGTCGTCGACGTCGGTGGCTGCGGCGCGCTCGCGGCCGTCGCCGCGGCGCTCGGCGCCGGCGCCGCCGTCGTCGCGGGCGACGACGAGGCCGCGCTCGCGGAGGCGCGCGCGCGGCTCAAGCTGAAGACGGCGCGCGTCGTCCTCGGCGACCGGCCCGGCGGCGACGTCGGCGGCGCGACCGCGGCCCTCGTCGCCGACGCGCTCGCCGGCGGCGCGCGCGCCGTGCCCGGGCTCTGCTTCACGCTCTCCTGCCTCGAGAAGCTCGAGGAGGTCTACGTCGGCCACACGCGGACGGCGGACTCCGCCGTCGCGCTCCAGGCCCTCGCGGACACGCTCGCCGCGCGCGGCTTCTCCGACGTCGCCGTCTGCGCGAGGTGCGCGACGACCGGGGGGTCGGACCACGCGGCCCTGCGCTTCGCGCGGCCGCGGCGGCGGACGTCCGTCGACGAGCCCGGCGACGGCCGCGTCTTCCCCGCGCCGATCGACGGCTTCGCGCTCTGTTAACAATGGCATGACTCGCGCGCTCGAACTCGTCGCCGTTCGCGCTCCGTTAACAATGGCATTACTCGCGCGCTAGAACTCGTCGCCGTCGAGGCCGTAGGCCTCGAGGATGGCCGCGAGGGCCGCGGGCGTCGCCTCGCGGCCCATCGCACGCGCGGCGGCCGCCGGGTCCGGCGTCACCGAGGGCTGGCGCGTGGGCCGCGGCGTCGGCGCGGCCGCGTCGGTCGCGGTCGTGGCGTTCGTCCTCGTCGCGCCGTCGTCGTCGGCGTCCGCCGGGGCGACGGCGTTCTGCACGTCGTCGCCCGGCGCGTCGTCGCTCTGGGACGCGAAGCGGCCCTCGGCCTGGTGCGTGGGCTTGTGCGTCGGGTACGGCGTCGCCGGCGTCGGCTCGAGCGTCGCCGTCGGCGAATGCGTCGGCTCGTGGCCGAGGTAGACGGGCTGGCGCGTCGGGATGGGGTCGCTGTCCGTGACGGCGTTGTTGTTCACGAGGTTCGCGCCCTGGCAGGCCGGCCACGTCTCGAGCTTGTCGTAGACGTAGGGCACGCGGCGGTCCCAGGGGGCCATGAGCTCGTAGAACTCGGCGTTCGTGTAGTAGCGCTGGGCGCCCGGCGTCGTCTCGGCGATGGGCCACTCGAAGGGCAGCGTGTCGTTCTCGCGGTGGCCCTCGCACGTGTCCGTGCGGCACTCGGGCAGCTTCAGCGAGTCGCCGACGGCGCTCCAGTCGCAGACGAGCTGCGTGTCCGACAGGACGCCCGTCGTGTGGTCGTAGTCCCAGTCCTCGACGAGCGTGAACGTGCCGTTGCGCGCCCAGGTGCGGATGAGCTGCACGTAGCGCTCCGCGAGGCCGTGGAGCGGCCAGAAGATGGGGTCCTGCGGCGCCGCGGACGTGAACATCTCGCCCGGGTGGCCCACGTGGCAGAGCGCGTCGACGATGGCCGCGTAGCCGCCGAGGGCGTCCCGCGCCTTGTGGACCATGGCGTCCGTGATGACCGTCTGCACGCCGCTGTGCTCCAGGAACAGCCGCGCGTCGTGCTCCGAGCCGTTGAGCGAGTTGGGGATGCGCTTGCCGCAGGAGCAGGTGCAGTCCCCCGGGTCCACGAGGTTCGAGCACTCCTTGGGGCAGTCCAGCAGCCCCTGGCGCCAGAGGAACTTGCTCCCCAGGAGCATCTGGTCGCTCCGCCAGTCGCTGTCGTCGTAGTCGCCGCTCGCCTTGAGCGTCGCGAGGTCGAAGTCCCAGGACCCGCCGAGCATGATGTGCACGGACCCGTGGAGCGCGCCGTTGAGCTCGCTGAAGAGCTTGCCCACGGAGTTGTAGCCCAGGAGCAGCAGCTTCTGGAACTCGGAGCACCGCGGCAGGAAGTTGTCCGCGCGGTAGACGCCGAGCACCTTGTTGTAGCGCATCAGATAGGGCACGGGGTTCGTGTTCCAGGGGCTCCGCAGCAGCCCCCAGGGGTTCGTGATGTTGGAGAACGCGCGCGCGTCCGCGAGCACGGGCGTGTAGGCCCAGCGGCCCTCGTCGACGACGTGGTCCGGGTGGTGCGGCACCGCGGGGCCGAACCAGTCCGGGTCGAAGAGCTCGCTCTCCGTGTAGACGTAGGTCGCGTTGCCGTAGGCGCGCTCCGCGTCGATGGTGTAGTCCCAGTAGTGGCTGCACACGGACGCGTCGACGGCCTGGAGCGACCGCTCCATGAGCATGGTCACGCCGACGTGGTGCGTCAGGAACCCCGCGTCGTCGTGCCAGTGGTCGCAGTCGCGCTGCGCCGCGCCGTAGAGGTGCATGCGCACGAACCACGCCGCGGACTTGAAGTCGGGCCCGTACCGGAGCTCGCCCGCGTCTTGCGTCGTCGCGTAGAGCGTGTGCAGCGCCGAGAAGTAGGCGTTCCGGTCCGCCGCCGTCAGGTCCCGCAGCTCGCGGCGCACGTACTTGGCCGTCACGGTGAACGCGCTCAGGTTCGTGCCCTGGACCGCGTCGAAGGCCGCGTCGCGGATGACGACCGCGTGGACGCCCGCGACGTCGAACTTGACGGTCAGCGTCTGGCCCTTGGGCGACGGGCCCTCGTCGCCCGTCGTCCCGGGCACGCTCCAGTGGACGCCGGCCCAGGCCGACGCGTCGAGGTCCACGTCCGCGCTGAGCGCGAGCGTCGTCCACTGGTGCATCTCGACGAGATTCTCGTACTCGTAGAGGCCGTCGCCGATGGGGATGCCCAGCGACGTCTCGTAGGCGCTCGCCGTCGCGAGGCCGTAGGCGCTCGCGGGCAGGTAGAGCGGCCGCGCGGCGGCGGCGGACGACGCGAGGGCCGGCAGCGTCGCGCCCGGGCTGCCCCGGCGCAGGGAGGCGACGGCGCCGGCGGCGCCGAGGCCGAGCCCGACGACGACTTGGAGCCGCCGCGACGACCGCGGGGGCGCCGCCGGCGCCTCGCCGCCCGTCAGCGACGACCGCTCGCCCGCCATGGCCCCGGCGCGGCCCAGCCCGAGGTCCACCTCGCTCGGTTGTCAGCTAATTCGAGGGGCACCAGACGAGATATTGAATGTAACGTTAGAGCTTGCCGTACAACATCGGGAAGTTGCGGCCGCGGCCAGACGCCTGGCCCGGGCCCTCCCGACCCCGCCCCGGTCCCACGACGCGATGGCGCGCCGCATGGCTCTACCCGCGGCCTAGACGGCGGCCTGCATCGTCGGCAGGACGACGGAGGCCTGCTGCTGCGTCTGGACGGTGGACGCGTCGGAGAGGTTGGAGCGGGACGTGACGGCGAGGAGGGGCGTGTTGATGGTGTTGGCGCCCGGCGTGGCGCCCGTCGCGCCCGCCGTCGCGAGCTTCTGCGTGCCCGTCTGGAAGGACACCTGCGCGCGCATGGGCACGAAGCCCAATTCCGGCGTCGGCACGCCGAGGTCCGACATCTTGACCGCGACGGCCTCGACGAGGGAGCCGTGGGCGTCGGCGACGCGCGCGAGCTCCGCGCGCAGGTCCGCGAGCTCGGACGCCTTCCGCTCGACGACGTCGCGGGCCTTGGACCGCTGGCCGACGCCGAGCGCGGCGACGTCGACGTTCGCGCGCGCGAGCGCGTCGTCGAGCTGGGCGTCGCGGGCTTCGAGGGTCTCGGCGACGGTGTCGAGCTTCTTCTCCAACAGCAGCGCCTTGAACTGGGCCTTCTGCTTCACCTCGGCCGCGACGGCCGTGAACCGGCTCGAGAGCGCGTCCTTCTGCGCCGCGACCTCCGCGTGGCGCTGGCGCAGCACCTCGTCCTCCCAGCGCAGCGCGCCGAACTGGGACTCGACGACCAGCAAACGCGCCTTGGCGCCGCGGAGCTCGCCCTTCTCGCGCTCGTAGCGCGCGAGCTCGGCGCGGAGCTCGTCGACGTCCTCGCGCGCCTTCTTGAAGGGCTCGCTCATGCGCCGGTTCTCCTGGGCGATGTGCTCCATCTGCTTCTCGTCCTGCTGCTCCTTGCGCCGCATCTCGCCGACCTCCTCCTTGAGGGACTTGATGAGGTCCAGGTTGTTGTGCGTGATGTCGTTGTAGTAGTTCTTGATCTCCGCGAAGGCCTTCTCGTGGGCCTTCATGAGGGCCTCGATGTGCACGTTCTTCGCGTGCTCGATGGCCAGCGTCTCGCGCTTGCGCCGCTCCTCGAGGCGCTCGCGGACGGCCTTGGTCTTCTTCTCGTAGTTCCGCTGCACCTCCGACGCCTTCCGCTCGAACTCGTGGCGCAGGTTCGTGATGTTGCGGTCGTGCTCCTGCTTCAGCGACTTCAAAAAGTCGTCGTGCGTGAGCTCCGTCTCCTTGAGCTCGAGCTTCAGCGCGCGGCGGTCGCTCTTGAGCTCGACCTCGTCGAGGCGGTGGTCGTCCTGGCTGAGCTTGAGCGCGGTCTCCGCGCCCGTCTTCCGCCGCGTGATCTCGTTCTGGTGCTCGTAGAGCAGGTGCTTGACGCGCTGCTTGTAGACCTTGATCTCGACCTGGTGCTTCTCCTCGAGGTCCTGGAGCTCGCGCTCCTTGTTCCGGAGCTCCGCCTTGGAGTCCTCGAGCTTCTTCTTCTCGACGATCCAGAAGTAGTTGAGCTTCTCGCGCTGCTGCTGGAACTCGTTGAAGTCCCGCTCCTCCTTCTGCGTCTCCTTGAAGTAGCCGAAGGCCTTGGCCGCCTTCTGCTTGCGGTCCGCCTCCTCGATCTCGTTGACCTCGCCGCCGCCGCCGGCCCCGTCCTCCTTCTTCTTCTTGCCGCCCTTCTTCCCCTTCTTCTTCTTCGGCGGCATGGCTCACGAAGCCACGCCCGCGCCGCCGCCGCCCGCGCGAGGGGCCGGCAACGACGACGGCCTGCCCGCGGGACGCCGCGCGCGGTTGCGCTAAAAGGTATCAAATTGAGGGGGCAGCATCGGGGCAGGGCACGTCCAATCTTCAAACATCGGGGCAGCATCTCGGGGCAGCTCCGGGGCTGCGCGACCTGCTGGACGCGGGCTTGACGGGAAGTTCCGGGCGCGCCGGCCGCCGCCTCCCCCCGCCCGCCGCGGCGCGCCGCCAGCGCCCGGCGCCTCCGAGACGCCCGGGCGCCGGCGACGCCCAGCAAATCGACGTCGTCGGCCAGCATGTTCGACGAGATCCGCGGCGGCACGGCGCCGACGCCCACCGGCGACGCCGAGGACCTCTTCGGGCTCCTGGACGACGAGGAGGTGCAGGCCTACGGGTCGTCGAGCAACGCCAAGAGCCGGCGGCCGCGGACGCGGGACACGTCGGCGCGTCCGCCCGCGCCTCGGGCCCCCGGACCCGGACCCCCCGCGCGCGCCGCGCGCGACCCCCCCCCGCCCCGCGCAGGCGTCGGACCTCGTGGACCTGAACCTCGCGCTCCGGAGCGAGCGGGGCCTGCGGCGGACGCCGCCCCCCATGCAGCAGCAGCGGGGCGAGCGCGGCGAGCGCGCGGCGCACCGGCGGTCGCCGTCGAAGTTGAACCCAGCGCTGAGCCGGTCGCCGGCGAAGCCCGCGCCGACGCGCTACGAGCGGCCGACGCGGGCCATGATCTCGCGCTTCGGCGCCGCGTCGGGCTCCGGCGACGACGACTACGACTACGACGACGAGCGGAAGGCGTCGCCCGCGCGGCCGGCCTTCGACGCGCGCGACGGCGCGTTCGCGTCCGTCGGCGGCGGCGGCGGGGGCACCTGGCGCGCGGCGTCCGCGTCCTTGGGCGAGGCGCCGGCGGCCAACGGCAGCGCCTGGGGCGGCGGGGGCCGCGACGACTGGCGGCCCGGCGAGGCGGGCACGTGGAGCCCGTCCGCGCCCGGGCAGGACAAGAGAGCGAAATTCCCAACTTCAAAGGCTCATATCTCGGCCGTTTTCCACTCGTTTTGGCTGACTTTTGGACGAGCGATCATCTCTCGGAACGGTCTCGAAGCGTGGATGCTTTTCCCGGAACGCGCGCGCGCGGAACACTCACGTTGAAGCGACGTTGAATCTCTCTTGTCCTGCCCAGGTCCGCGCCCGTGGACTTCCGGCCCGTCGGCGGCGTCGCGAGCCCGGAGACGACGCTGGACCTGCCGCCGGAGTCGCCCGTGGGCAAGGCCAAGGCGTCGGCGTCGCCCGCGAAGCTGGGCCAGTCGCGGTCCGCGCGGTCGCTCCTGTGGTCGTCCGTGGAGTCCGTGGGCCTCGACGACGACCGCGGCGGCGGGTCCTTCGACGACGACGACCCGCCGCGCCTCCGCGACGCGCCGCCGCGGCCGAAGCCGTCGTCGGCGCGCGGCAAGCCGAAGCTGCGGCGCGCGTCGCCGGACAAGCCCGCGTCGGCCAAGGCGGGCCGGGGGAATAGGGGGCCCGTGCCGGACCTCGTCGTGGTCAACGGGTCGCCGTCGGCGACGAAGCCCGCGGGCCGCAAGTCCGCGGGCTCCGGCGGCCGCAAGCACCGGGACGACCGCGACGAGCACCGGGGGCCCGGGGGCCTCTTCCGCCGCGACGGCGACGACGGCCCGCCGCGCGGCGACCGCGTCGCGTCCGCAGACCCGAGCCAGCGGAGCTGGCGGAGTAGCTCCGCGCGGGGCCACCGGTCCGCCGTCGGCGCCGCGGCCGCGTCGTCCGCGAAGCGCGGCGCGACGCGCCAGAAGATCAACTCGGCGTCGGCGGCGCACCGCCAGCAGCGCGTCAAGGAGTTCCAGGTGCTCCAGGGCGCCGCGAGCCCCGCGAGCCCGCGGCTCACGGTGCGCTCCCGGCGCGACGTCGCGGACTTCGACGCGCGGCGCCAGCCGCCGCCGAGCCCCATGGCCGCGCGCTACGACGTCGACCCGCCCGGCGGCGTCCACGAGGTTTTAGGCAGCGCCATCGTCGGCGACGACGACGACTGGGGCGAGACGCGGGACCCGGGGGGCGGCGGCTTCGGCGACTGGCCGCCCGCGTCGCCCCTGGGCCACTTCCACCGGCCGCCGTCCCGTCAAAAGGGCGCGTTCCCGACGCACCTCATGGCCGGCGACGGCGCGCGGCGCGATTTGGACGAGGACCTGGATATTCGCGACGACGCGGGCGCGTCCGACGGCGCGCCGGAGCCTGTGTGGAAATCAAATCTTCAACCCGACTTCAATGTGAGCGTAATTGAACGTATTGCGCCGGACTCTTTCACTGTGCTTCGAGAACTCGACGAGAGCGATCGATCCGTCCAAAAGTCAGCCGAATCGACTTTGATTTGACCGAGCTAGAGAATTCTCAAGTTTGGTGGGGACCCCCCAAACCAGTGGTTGGTTTCGGCACAGGCCGGAGCGCGACGAGCCCCCGCCGCGCCCGAGCCCGTCGCCGACGCGCGACGCGCGGGCGTCCGCGCGCGACTCCGCGCGGCGCCGCCGCGACGACGCGGCCTCCAAGGCCGCGGCCGCGAACCCGGGCGGCGACCGCGTCGTCTTCGAGGGCGACGAGACCAAAAAGACGCTCCGGCGGCCGCCGAGCCGCCAGAAGATGCCCAAGGCCGCGCTCTTTTTGGACATCGACACGCACAAGGACGCGCGCCAGCTGCCCCTGGGCCCCGCGACCTTCGGGGCGCCCAAGGCGCGGGCCAGCGGCCACGGCGCGTGGATGCGGTCGAAGATGCCGCGCTACGCGCCCGGCGAGCCCGTCGACGAGCCCCACAGCGCGCGGCCCGATTTGGCGCCCAAGGTCGCGGACGTCGCCGACGAGCCCGCGCCGCGGGGCCGCAAGCCGTCGATCTCCCAGGTCGACGCGCCGGCCGCGCCGCCGGCCGTCGCGCCGCCCGCGGCCTACGAGTCGCGCGCGCCGCGCGCGGAGGACGACGTCGACCGCCACCACGACCCCGAGGCCGACGGCTTCACGGCCATCGACGAGCCGACGCCCTGCCCCTTCCGCATCCAGGTCACGCAGAACGACGGCCGGTCCACGGTGCTCCTCGACGACCTCGGCGCGCGCGCCGCGCACGCGCCGCCCGCGGCGGCGACGTCGAGCGGCGACGAGGTCGACGCGCCGGCGGCGCCCTGGAGCGCGACCGTGCACCCGGACGGCGCGCCGCCGCCGGCCTTCGAGGACCTGGACGACGCGCCGGCGTCCGCGGCGGCGCCCGCCGCGCGGACGCCGACGGCCAAGGCGTCGGACTGGGAGCCCTTCGCCGCGGGCGTCGCCGACGGGGGCCCCGACGCGACGGAGGCGGACCGCCTCGCGCGGCGGCCGCCGTCCGCGGGCGCGGGCCGCCGCGCGTCCGCGGGGCGCCAGCGGCCCCAGTCGGCGATCCCGTCGACCTACAAGCACGCGGCGCTCCACGGCGCGACGCCCCGGGCCATCTTCCACGGCGGCGCGCACTTCGGGGGCGCGACGCCCGCGCGCAAGGCGTCGGCCAAGGTCGGCGCGGCCATCGGCGCCTACGATTTCTCGGGGAAGGAGGAGCTCAAGCGGCGCCTCGTCGCGGACCAGGCGGGTTTGGGCGGCAAGGGGCCCCTGACGCTGAAGCGGAGCCCGAAGCCCGTCGTCGAGCGGTCGACGTCGTCGCCCGCGGTCGCCGCGGAGCCCGAGGCCGCGCCGCCGGCCGACGCGTTCGGCGGCCTCGAGCTCGCGGCGCCGGGCAGCGGCGACAGCCTCGGCAGCGACGAGGACGACCTGCTCGAGGTCGCGTCGGGCTCGTCCTTCAACGACGACGACGACAACCAGCTCGGCGCCCAGATGCTCGAGACGAACCTCGGCGAGGAGTTCCTCAGCCTCTTCGCGCCCATCACGCACTAGGCACCCGCGCTCGTATAAAACCTCGCCCGCGCGTCGCCTAGCTCCTCTGGAGCAGGGCGACCTGGAGCCCGCGGAGCTCCGCGAGGCCCCGGAGCCGGCCGATGGCCGTGTAGCCCGGGTTCGACCCCGCCTTGCCCAGGTCGTCGCACATCTGGTGGCCGTGGTCCGGCCGGAACGGCAGCCGCGCGTAGTTCGGCGCGCCGCCCGCGCGCCGGCCCTTCTCCTTGAGCAGCGCGTCGACGACGGCCGCGACGGGCACGTCGCCGTCGAGGTGGTCCGATTCGACGAAGGACGCCACGGGGTTGCCGTCGACGTCCGCGACGGCGTCGCCCTTCTTCACGTTCCGCAGGTGGACGAAGTGGATCCGCGCCGCGAACGCGCGCGCCATCGCCGCGACGTCGTTGCCCGGGCGGCTCGCGAGGGACCCGGCGCAGAAGCAGAGCCCGTTCGCCGGCGAGTCCGACGCGTCCAAGATGAACCGGAGGTCCTCCGCCGTGGACACGACGCGCGGCAGCCCCAGAAGCGGCACGGGCGGGTCGTCCGGGTGGATGGCCAGCAGGATCCCCGCCTCCTCGGCGACGGGCGCGACGGCCCGGATGAAGTAGGCGAGGTGCTCCCGCGCGGCCGCGGCATCGACGCCGTCGTACTGCGCGAGCACGCGCTTGAAGCCCTCGACGCCGTCCGCGACCTGCGAGAAAGGGATGACGCGCGAATCGCCCTATATCAAAAACGCCGTCCGCGACCTCCGTCGTCATCTGCCCCGGCAGCCCGCGGATGACGGTCTTCGCGAGGTCGCTTCGCCGCGCCTCGTCGAGCGCCGCCCAGCGCGCCTTCGCTTTCTCGAGCGTCGCCGCGTCGTAGCTCCGCTCCGCGCCGGCGCGCTCGAGGCCGCAGACGTCGAACGCCGCGAAATCCAGCGCGTCGAACGCGAGGGCCTTGGACCCGTCGGCCCAGGGGAATTCGAGGTCCGTGCGCGTCCAGTCGACGACGGGCATGAAGTTGTAGGCGACGACGTCGACGCCGCAGGCGCCCAGACGCCGCAGCGTCTCCTGGTAATTCGCGACGCAGTGGCTCCGCATCGGCTCCGAGCCGAGCTTCACGGACTCGTGCACGGGCACGGACTCGACGACGCTCCACGTGAGCCCCGCGGCCTCGATGAGGGCCTTGCGCTCCTCGATGAGCGCCGTGGGCCAGACCTCGCCCGCGGGGACTTGGAGGGCCGTGACGACGCCCGTGCAGCCGGCCATTTTCAACGTCGACAGCGGCACGGGGTCGTCCGGGCCCATCCAGCGCATGGTCTGCTCCATGATCCCATTCGTCGCGCTCTCCTCCGACCGCGGCGCGCACACGTAGCGCATGAGGCCGTCCATGGCTGCAGGTCTTCGATTCTTGCGGCTTCGAGCTGCGGATGCTTGTGGCAGAGATTTGTGGCAGAGGTCGGCGATGGCTAATGTTTGCCACTCCTTGACGCTGGCGAGGACGATGACGGCGTCCTAGCAACAAGCTGACAGCGTCCTAGCAACCCACCATCGCAGCAGCCAAAAGCCACAAAAGCAGTAAAAACACAATGGGCAAGAAGCAGAAGCAGCCGCGCACGGAGGAGGAGATCGCGGCGCTGCGCGCGGAGCGAGCAACACAAAAAGGCGTGGACCGCTGCGCGCAGGCGCTCGAGGACGCTGGATTCGGAGGCCTCGCCTACGAGTTCAGCCAGGGCCTGCGCCTCGTCGTCGAGGAGGAGTGGCAGCCCGAGGACGCGGACTCCATCGCGGGCCTGCAGTGGGCCGGCGGCGTGCGGCTCGCGCGGTTCTTCGACGACGCGGCGCTCTTCCCGCGAACGTTCTGGGAGGCGGCGACGGTCGTCGAGCTCGGCGCGGGCTGCGGGCTGACGTCCTGCGTCCTGGCGGCCCTGGGCTGCCCGAACGTCTACTGCACGGACGCGGAGACGTGCCACGCGGCGGCGAACGTCGCGGCGAACGCGGCGGCGATGGCCGCGCGGTGCGGCGGCGGCTTCGCCGCGCCGGCGGTCGTCCGGTTCGCCTGGGGCGCGGACGCGCCGCCGGTCGTCGGCGCCGACGTCCTCGTCTGCGGCGACTGCCTCTACGACGAGGCCCACGGCGCGCTGCTCGTCGAGGGCCTGCTCGCGGCCGCGGGCCCCGACACGGAGATCTACGTCTGCGGCGCCGTCGGCGTCGCCGCCCACGCGGCCTTCATGGCGTTGGCGCCGACGCACTTCGAAGTCGAGGCGCTCGACGGCTCGGCGCGGCGCGGCGAGGCCGGG